GTTGAAGATGGGTTCTGCGTCTAAAAACATAAAGGATATACAGAAGTGTACCTATGACTAGTCAAGAAATCTCTGAAAGAAAAATATTAGTCAACTTCATGTGGCATTATGGTATCTGAGAGGAATTTATCCAGGCTGTGAAGGGCCTTCCAAGAAGAAGTGGCCAGCTATAACTTTCATCTATATTCAGAAGCAGAAATATATATTTTTAAAAAAACTTTAAAGCTACACTAAGTTTAAAATAGAAAGCAATATGAAGTCAATGCAGAGATTTAACCAAAGGAGGATACCTTAACTACTGTTTATTTATTTATTATTTATTAAATTGGATAAATATAGCAGAAAATATAATTTATATATAGTTTTATATATAGTGCATTATAGTTTACATTTCTATAATTAATAAGAAAGAGCAGGAAATAAAGCTGCACACAGTTGTTCTTAGGAAAGATCTGGCTCATTTGTACATGTTACTGATGATTGTTTTCTATTCAATTTACATATTCCATCTCACTCTGTTGGGTAAAGAATGTTCTGCATTGGAATTAGCTATAGCCATTTAAACATCTTCAGATTATACAACAAATATAAAACCAAGTGAAATCCCATTGATTTTCATAGGATTAGCAAAAGGAAAATCAATGGAATATTTTTGCTTAATGTTATGTCTTTTGTTGAGCCAATTCCAATATCTCTACTATGAACTTTGGAAATTAGAACATTTTCCATAAGAACTTCCAATTTTCAAAGTTTTAAAAAATAGATTATATAATGCATTAAGAACTGATGTTCATTTTTATGATTATCTTTCAGATATTAAACATTTAACATTGTTTTTCCGGATCACTATGAATATGCTTGACATGTTCCCCTGAACTTAAGAATGATTGTACCATCCAAACTAATTCACATCAGATCAATTAGACTAAAATCTGACCGTTTGGTTCCATACTTGCTTGAATCTACATGCTTGGGGAGAAAAGTTAAAGAACAGTTGTTGAAGCAGGAAAATACAACTCTTGGTTTGCTCCCAGTGCTTCCTCTTGCTCTTCAGTCCAGAACCAAATGTATTATTACTGAGAATCTGGCACTGGGATCTTATGGAAGAGTAACTTGCCAGGAATAGAAGCAATGTCAAGCTAATGTAATAACTAATGTAAGCTGCTTTTGCGTATTACTTATGTGGTAACAGATAATAACAGGGTTACTTTCTGTTGGATTGGTTCTAAAGTTTTCACCCTCAAATTGTTCTAGTGTGTTGCATCCATTTCCTCCTGATATCCGTTGGTTTGTTCAGCAATAAATAAGTTACGATTCAGGCTTACCACCAAATAAGTAGATTCCAGTTTCTTTATAAGTGAGGGACTTCTTTATTTGATTATAGATAAATTAGAGAAGAAAATGAGAGCAGCTGGCAAAATGTTCCAGCTGATGGAGGCAAAAGCTCACCAGAAAGAGTCCGAAGAGAAGATACATGCTTAATCAGTCTAGATAGAGAGAGGGAAGAAAAAGATGACCCAAGGCCGCATTGTTCCTTCTCCAAATTCTCAGTGAGGTTCCCAGAGATGCCAGTGGTCTCAAAATAACCCTGGCCACCTTCCTGACTCTTGAAAAGAACATTTCTGTTTTCATTTTAAAAAAACCTGGGGAAATTATAAGGTCTGTTTGAATGGTCTACCCCAGACAACTGATTGACTCAATGGAGTTCCAGAAGAAACTTAAGGTTTTCTCTGGGGATATGATGGCTGGTTCAGTCTTAGTCTCTGCCTAGAATAGGCAGAGTGCTGAACCCAGCACATCCCTTGGTTTCCTGAATGACTCCAGGAATTACAGCATCAGAAGAGATGACTGGAGTGCTGCTGGAGGAAAACTTGGAATAAAGTCAATCAACCAAAAAAATGCAGATAAAAGCCCCTATTAGGGATTACCTTGTGGCAATAAGGGCAGTGATGTATTAATATTTTTCTATCTTTATTGCATCTGCTGACAGCCATTCGTTTAGAGTGCCCTCATCTCTTCTGGACAGAGATGGACCTTGGGATCCTTTGCTCATGGGCCACAGGATCATTTGCAAGGCATCTATAAAGAATATCCTCGTCATCTAGGCAGATAAAAATGCTCAGATCTGATCCAAGTTGCACTCAGATTGAGCAGGTGTGACCAAGGGTCCAGCAGCCTGGTCTTGTAGTAAATGACTTTAACCAGTGATCCCTGATGAGGGGAACTGGGTTCTTTGTCCTGTAAGTTTGGTTTCTTCTTTGTTGGATCCAGAGTTGTGAAGAAAGCTAAGGAGATGACTTGTGTCAATTCCATACTGTGATGATAACCTCTTTGTTGGAGGAGGTGGTGCCTCTGACCTTGAAAGAAGTAGTGATATATCTCCTTAAGCAGTTATTCTTTGACCAAACAGTCTTGGAAATGAGTCTTCCATTTTCTCTTTCTAGGAAAGGTGCTTGTAAAGATGGTCATAGTGCAGCTCCTAAAAACCCTGCAGGAAATGGATTATCTAGACCAGTGTTTCTCAACCTTGGAAGCTTGAAGATGGGTGGACTTCAACTCCCAGAATCCCCCAACCAGTGCTGCTGGCTGGGGGATTCTGGGAGTTGAAGTCCATCCATCTTCAAGCTACCAAGGTTGAGAAACACTGATCTAGACCCAATTCAGTTAGGTTTCGGGCTGTTATTTGGTATGGAGACAACTTTATTTATACTTCTTGATAATTTGTGGTGGTGCTGGGATGGAGGTAGTGCATACATCTTTATGCTCCTTAATCTCTCAGTGACTTTTCATACCATCAGCCACAGTATCTTTCTGGACTTCTCTGGGAATTTGCACTATCTCTAGCTCTACATCTAGTATTAAATTTGTCAAGGGAACAAAAGTAGGAGCCACCTCTGACAATAGTTGCATGACACATCATGCTCACAGAGAGACAGACTCCTCCATTCCAGAGACTTCTTAATTCTTAGGAGGGTGTCTCATCAAGCAATCAGACCAGAAGGGAAAATGTGGCTTTGATAAGTGTAAAACCAAGAGAAGAACCAGAATGAAGTCTAGAGAGAAGCAGGTTATTTTTTACACAATGGAGTAATTTTACAGGAATAACTATTTGGGAGACCAGAGTGGATGTATATATCGATATATATGTCGATCGAAAGGTTGGCATTTCAGCGGTTCGAATCCCTAGTGCTGGAATGAGCTCCCGTTACTTGTCCCAGCTTCTGCCAACCTAGCAGTTCGAAAGCACATAAAAAATGCAAGTAGAAAAATAGGGACCACCTTTGGTGGGAAGGTAACAGCGTTCTGTGCGCCTTTGGCATTTAGTCATGCCAGCCACATGACCATGAAGACATCTTTGGACAGTGCTGGCTCTTCGGCTTTGAAATGGAGATGAGCACAGCCCCCTAAAGTCAGGAACAACTAGCACATATGTGCGAGGGGAACTTTTACTTATATATATGTGTGTGTGTGTGTACATATATGTGTGTATGTATACACACACACACACACACACACACACACACATATACAGAGAGAGAGAGAGAGAAGAGAGAGGGAGGGGGAGAGAGAGAGAGGGAGGGAGAGAGAGAGAGGATATAGAATTAAGAAGGGATTTTTGAATATTTCAGACTACTTGAATCAGTTGAGCAAGGTAATCTGATTTGCTATGCTGAGATTTAAAATCCTTAAAATAATGTCCCTGATATCCTTATGGATTTAATCTTGAGTGTTCCATTGTTGTAGGTGAATACCTCTCTATACGCCTCAAGGGAAAAATCTAAAAAAGATGCACCTAGAACAGGGAAGAATACAAAGGAACAAGTATCATAACAAGAAGGAACAATCTGCTCGGAGGTTTTTACAGTTTAATTCCTTAACAGAGAAGCTAAAAATCCTTGAAAAGGGAGCAATTTATCCAGAAAATCCCCTGCACGTAACAATGTGGTGTTTTTAAGGCAACCACTTTAGAGACACATAGCTACAAAAGCTAAAGCAGGATCTCCTCTGGTGGTCCTTTGGGATCTTCTGAATTTCAGGAGGGATTTCCTGAATTCAGAGCCCAAGGGTTCTGGGAATGGGACTGATCCTTTAATATGAGTCCATGAGATGTCATTTTAGATGATAAACTAGATAGCAGTAAACTGTGAATCAAGACATGTCCACTCAAAAAATGCTGAGGAAGAATATCCCTAATCTGACAAAATTACAATTTAATGCAATCTCTTGAGGAGAGCCAGTTTAATATAGTGGCTAAAGGGGCTGGAATGGAACCCAGGAACAGAAGCTAGGTGGTGACTTTGGGCTAGTCACACTTTTATTAGCTCTAGGAAGAAGGTGATAATAAACCACTTCAGAAAAATCTTGCCAGGAAAACTGCATGGGCTTGTAATTGCTGGGAGTCAAGACTGACTTGGAGACACAGAAAAATAAATAAATAAAAGTCCTTAAAATTGTATAGTGCTATTATTTTGCAACCCTCTCCCCAAAGACCCTGCTGTTCCGCCAGGCAGGGCTATCTATGTAAATGATTTTAAATTGGGTGTTTTAAATTTTGGGTTTTAAATTTGGGCCGAAATTGTTTAATACTTTTAACTATTTTAAAACTGTTGTTTGTATCTTGTGTTTTTAATTGGCTGTACAACCGTCCTGAATCCTTTGGGAGAAGGGCGGTATATAAAGTAAATTATAAATAAATAAAATATAAATAAATAAAGTATGAATCTCAATCTTCAAATCATATGACAGAAAATGCACATCTTGTGTCCTACCTGAAACTGATTTCCATAGCCAAATAAAAGGGATTCCAAACACAATCATATGATGACCCAAACTGACTTTCATACAAGATTCTTTCTCTCAACCTTTAATCATCCTTCCTGTGTTGGTTGTTCTAGTTCTGATGAGGCAATCTGAAATTAAAACTCCAAGAGTTTTCCTCATTAAGAAATGCTACTAATACTTCATCTTGTTTGAATGTAATGTTGTAACTATTCTTACAGAGTTCAACATAAAGATCATCAGATGAATCAAAAGCGGTCTGGAATTAACTATCTAGCATGTAAAGAAGTACACATCCAGTTGGGAAATCTGCATGTGGCATGATGATAAACTTGTTCTATGTCTTCATATGAATGAACATTTCTCTTGATATTTGAGAATGCAGGACAATCAGGTAATTAAAAGGAAGTTTCCTTTCCAATCCACTTATGATTAATAATTTTAAGGAAAGCTATGCTTGTGGAACATACCATTGGGTGTTACTTTCCCATAATTTGCTTCTGATTACATGTGGAAAGTATAGAATTACAGAGAATGGGCAGGGAAGACTCATCTTTCTAAGACTTTAATAACAAAGTAATGAATTCAATGGAAAGACTGACAATATGAATTTAGTGTTTCTCCCCTACAATTAATTTTGTGCACATATCAAATGGATCATGTGTAATATTGATATTGAGTAAATATCAAATGGATCATTTTTACACTAAATGTTCAAATATTCAGGGCATTTGACCATTGATATTATTCAATGTCTTGCTATATTTTGCCTGCAGAAAGTGCTTCTGAGACTTGTCGTACTATCCTCTTATCAAAGGTAAGATCTGGATTATCATTCGTGATATTCAGAAAGCTTTTGAAATGTGGCTTTTTCAATCTGAATTTGGATATTGAGAAATCCACAAGAGATGGTGAGAAGGTGGAAGTGATAAAATATGAGTCATGCATGTTCTGCCTCTAACAGATATGCAATATTTTGCCAGGTCATTTATAAATGGGTGAAGTTTGTGTTGTGATTTCAACATGCACATTTTGTCATTTTAGCATCATCATCACTAGCTGCAGACACCTGATTCAGGGACTGAAGGATGAATAGTTAGATATCTACCCATGACATTAAATCGAAAGGACTGACAATAATAGAGGCAATTTTAAACAGATATTGAAATATGTGATGACATGTTTTAATGATGGTGCTATATTTTATAATCAGGAATGACTAAGAATTAAACCACTACATTATGGTATAGTTCTATGATTTGGGTCTACGTTTTATGATCATTGTAATTTGAATCAAATTCTGTATTTTCCTTCTTGAGAGTCATTTATTTTAGAATTATTGAAACTGCATAAACACATTTTATAATAAATAAATAAATTTGGAACTTTGACTTCAATTTATCGCCCCAAATGTTTGTTAATGGGCTGACTTTGTTTTTCTTCTGTCTTCTTCTGTCTTCTCATTTGAATTGTAAGATTTTGGTTAATGTAAAATACTAATAAAAAGCAAAATGGTTTTTTTTTATTATTATTATTCAATAACAAAGTTTAGGATGTAGATTATTTTCATCATCAGTGAGAAAGTTCTGTGAAGGGATGCTTTGTTATTTCTCATTTGGGATTTCCTGACAATGAAATTCTTCTATAACCATTAATTTTATTGATCCATCACTCTTCTGAGCTCTCCATCTGCTCAATTCCTGCTGCTTTCTCTTGTGAGTATCCTTTGCTGTGGCCAGATGAGTCTCATCAGGAAGATGAAATAAAAGTTCTAATTTTTCCTGAAGCATTTAGTGCTTATTTTGAGAGCTGTTATGTCTTGCCCTAAATTCCATCCACACTATGGAGGTTCTGAAATCAATGAATCACTACTCACAGTTGTTGTTTTGGGGGGAGGGTGTCTGTGTGTGTGTGTGCTAAAACCAATTTCTACTGTCACAGTCCAGTTGTATTAAAACCATGCTCACACAGAATTATGCTTTCACATTTATATGTAACCCTTCCACCCTAGGGTCTACAACAACTCGCCACAGCCAACTTGCTGCAGCCAACTCACCATGGCCAACTTGCCACGAGACAACTCATTATGGCCAACTCACAATCGAACAACTCGCTGTAGGACAAGAGTTACATTAATATTGAAGAAATAGTCTAATACAGGAGTGTCAAACTCAATTTCATTGAGGGCCACATCAGGGTTGTGTTTGACCTTGTGGGGGGCTAGGGTGGGCATGGTGAGGGTGGGCGTGGCCAGCTCAACGTCACTTTGGGGGCGCCTGTGGCAGCCTGAGTGCTCTGCCAGCAAAAATGGGCTCCCAAGCTCCATTTTCGGCTACAACAGCCTCCTGCAACCCTCTGTCTATGAAAATGGAACAGCCCTCCTGAGCTCCATTTTCACTGGCAGAGGCACCATGGACTGGTCCTTCACTGTTTCCAGCCCCACAGGCCAGTTCTAAGCACTCTGTGGGCCGGATCTGGCCCATGGGCTTTGAGTTTGACACCCCTGGTCTAATAGAATCATTAAAGAAAGGATGCCAAAGAAGGGACAAAATAAAATGTGAATGACAAAAATTAAAATATTTTAAAAATTATTTTAAATAACTAAATTGAATTGTTGAATTGTCCCACAACGAGTTGTCCTGTGGTGAGTTGTCCTGTGGTGAGTTGGCCATAGTGAATTAGCCATGGCGAGCTGGCCTTGGTAAGTTGACTGCAGCAAGGTGTCCCATTCCACCCTACATGACATGAGGGAACAACGTGCACCTAATTTAGTGGGATTTAGGTCCATGAGTGTCCATAGACGTACAGCAGTACACTTTTTACTTAACAAAAAGGGACAGATATACTGCTGGTGTCTATTACTGTTGGCACTGGTATTTTGCATCAAAACTTATAGAATGCACTATGTTTATTCTCATACTGTTAAACTACCATTCCAGTCCATATCATCAACAGCATTGGATTTGGAAGAACTGTCCATAAGAGTGGTGATTTACACAGCCAGCCAGCTCCAAAGCAGTGACATTAAGGGGAAAATATGTTAAAAGATGTCCAGAAATAGAAGCAGTAATATAAGCAAATTATCCCTGTCCTGTCAAAGTGAATGAGATTTTTGGAGCTAGTGAAAATATATTGGGAATGTGTTTTGCAAATGAAATACCATTCCATTGGTTATTACTTATAGATTTTTGGATCTTAGACACCTGGGTTCATTACTTCGGTTGTGAAACAACATTTTTCATCCACCCCCATAATTCCCATTTTTTAAAATATATATTCCTAATACACAGCAAAACAAAGTATCTCTCAATCCAGATAAAAAGCAAATGCTTTGAATACATGCATTTTCACATTTTAAATTTAGCTCATCAAGGAGGGCCCAGTATGATTGCATGCTTAACATGGAATTTAATTCTGAATCTCAGGCTTTCGTGACTAGTATTATCCTCAGTGGGTGCAGGGGTGTCCAGATCAAGTAAGAAGTTAACTCTGGATTTGATACCATTTATTGTTTGTTTGTTTTTTGTTTGTTTTTTGTTTTTGCTTTAATTTATATGCCGCCCTTCTCCGGAGACTCAGGGTGGCTTACAATGTGTTAAGCAATAGCCTTCATACTTCTGTATATTTATACAAAGTCAGCTTATTGCCCCCACAATCTGGGTCCTCATTTTACCTACCTTTGAAAGGATGGAAGGCTGAGTCAACCTTGAGCCTGGTGAAATTTGAACTTGCAGTAATTGCAAGCAGCAGAGGTTAATAACAGTGCTTTAGTCCACTGTACTACAGGCTCTTAATTATTCATAATTGTATGGAGTTAGGGGCCATGGGCCAGCTCAACTATACCACTGCATTTAATCTTTGAAGGCAATAGGACTTGAAAAGATTCAGAGAAAAAGGTTTATTGGGTTTTCTGCTCCCAGGCTAAGAAGCTCCCAGTCTATCTCATAATTTATCAATGACAGCGATTAGTATCATCCTTCAGAGACAAACCGAAAACTCTTGAAAAGTTATTTTAGTGTGGCCATTATTTTGCGTTGGCAAGTCTCAGTTAACAAAAGTTTCCAAATAGCCTCTTGAAACTTGGTGATTATCTGAAGGCAGGAAAGAAGCCAACACTTCATGAAGAAAGCATAACATTCAGGTAACTATTACCAGAAGTTTTATCACTTATGATTTGGTCAGAATATTAGTAATATAGCAAACTGACAGCAGAAAACACCTAGTGATCTATTGAGTCTCCCCTTGGAGTTTTTTACTTACTTATTTGTTTTCATTTTTTGTTGAAACATGTTCAAAGCATGTTTACACTCGTTTACTGATGATTGACCCCACTACCACCACCACTGGAAGTTGGTTTCAAGCTCCCACTACTTTTTCTGCAAAGCAATACTTCCTAACATTACTTTTAAACTTCCTTCCTGTCAGTCTGAGCTTATGCCCCCATGGTTTTTGATTCTTGCTTAATATTGAAAATACTGCCTTCTAGAACATTATTCACACCCTTACATACATTTAAAGCTTTCAGTCATGCCACCCACCCACCCCACTTTCCCTCTTCTGTCCTCCAGGCTATACATATTCAGTTCCCCCAGTCTCTCCTGTTACGTTTTTGCAAGGTTTGTCAGACCTTGTATCATTTTTGTTGCTTGTATGAAATCTCATTGTACAAATCTCATTGACAACAAAATTATAAATTATGGTTTGTAAAACCCAGCAGTTGGCTCATGTAATACACTAAGCAACAACCAACCCAACCCAATTACATCTTAGTTCTTGGGCAAACCAGGCTTTATAACAGATTGACAAGATAAGAATTGAGGCTTAGGGAGATCACAAGTTAATGCCCATTAAAAGAAGGGTAAGATGACAGTGCAGAACAGAGACAACATAAGGCTGCATTTATTTGATGAAGGCTTCATTTAAAAAGTAAATAAGGAAATTTAGAAGGAAAATGTAGATAGAAATGTGTTGCAAAGAAAAGAACAGGAGCAGGGGATGAAGCAGCATGCTGTGGGTCTTAAGCTCCCTGCTTCATGTGACTTTTATATTTGAACAATATTTTTTAATTAAAAACTGGCATGCTACAAAATAGTCAGTCCTCTCTCTCTTTCTCTCTCTCTCTCTCTCCCTCCCTCCCTCCCTCTCTCCCTCCCTCCCTCTCCCTCTCTCTCAGTTTTCAAGGCTGCTTCTTGGACTTAAATCAGTTTTCTTACAAAATAAAAATAATGGATGGCTGTACCTAAGAGAAATATATGTATTCATCTGCCTGGAAAGAGGACAACGTACCTCCACAGGATGGTGGCAAATAGCATTCTGGTGCTTTGTGACTTTGTAAGATTCCCCATGATACTCATTTTGTTAATTGGCAATCACTCCCCTGGCAGCCATTTTGCAAAAGTGCCTTCAACATATACTCAGAATTCTAAATATACCCATTACTAAATAGAAATAAAAATCCCTGATTTAAGTTATGGAGGTGGCAAGCAGAAGAACCTTAGATAAATGGGATAGCTCAGGTATATGTAGGTACCAAGCTTCAAGAACTAGAATATATCTAAGAGGAAGCACTAGAGGAATAGAGCAATAAAAAAACTGGCTGTCAAATGCTTCAGGTTGGTATGAAACAGCACTCAGAGTCAATATAAATATTTAAGAAAAGGGAAGAATATAAGGATAGCAGGAATTTTGTTTGCATAATAAAAATTGGTTTTATAGCATCACCACAGTCAATTTTTAAACAAACCTGAAGTGTAGAAAATTGTGCCTGATCCATTCCAAGCTAACGGGGCTTTCCCAACACAACTAGAAGATCAAAGGGATAAATGCCATTGTTGATCTTGACAGCTACATGCCATGGGGAGATGAAGATCAAGTATGCTTCAGATGGAAGAGACATCGTCAAAGACAGCTTTTCCCAATCTGCTGCTTTCCAGATGTGTTGGGACTACAACTCCCAAAATTCTGAAACAGAGTGAGCCTGTAGGGAAGAGTATGCTAAAATAAGATTATAAACTCCATTTTGGTAAGGAAAAAAGGAACAATTTTTCATTTATATTCAGAAAGTGTAGGGGAAAATGATATTTATCTGTATGATCCATCATTCCTTTTACAACTTTATCACTTTCAAAAGTATGTATGGCTAGAAACATTTCTATTTTTGAAAAAGCAAATGTGATAAGAGTGGGAAACTCTATTAGAAATCAAAATATAATATATTTCATATTGAGAATCCCACATGACAGCTACAATTCTAGTAGAGCTCCCCTCCAGTTTCAATATTATCAAAAATCAAAATTTTAAGGGAATCTTATGTCTGAAAACAAATGATAATAATGTAGAACATAATTATAAATCAAAAGAAAAACAAGATAAATGTTTAGGGAGAAAAATGAAATTTTATTTGTAGCTGAAAACGAAATTATTTTATCTTTATAAGATTAAAAAAGTATGTAATATGCTTTACAAACAGAAAAAAACACAAGTGAGAATTAAAGCCAAATGGTTTGGATGCCCTGTTAGGGTGTGTGCGTTTTTCTTTGACACTTTCCCATCCTATAATGCAAAAATGCTGCAAAAAGCTATTATAACTTAGATAGAAGTTTCTTAATCCTTCATAGAACTTTTTTCTGCTGAAGATTAGTCTCCAAGCTATTTTTCTCTTGGAGATAGGATGAACTATGTAACTGAAGTTGTAAATATTTTTACTGTACACAATTAGCAATCTAACTTCTAGAAACCTTCTCCATTTATCTCTGGAGAAGGTTTCTAGAAGCTAGTCCATATTACTAATAAGCTTCCCACAATACCCTCATTAGGTCATTTGATATTTTTAGCATGTTTAAATCACCAGAGCCTCATGGATGTACTTAGCTGTTCAGTGTCTATGGAAGAGTTGATGATGGTCAAGACATGGAAGTCAAGCACAACAATTACTGGAAAAGACTGTATTGTTGGAAAATCCCAACATAATTGTTGGAAAATCCCAACATAATAATGGAACATAATTACCAGAGCCTCATGGACATAGGATCTATGGAAGAGTTGATGATGGCAAAGACATGGAAGTCAAGCACACTGATTACTGGGAAAGACTATATTGTTGGAAAATCACAACATAATGATGGAAAAGAATTGGAATAAGCCCTGGGTGAAATCATCCATCACTATCGGTTGAGATATCGTCAATATGCTGATGATACTCAACTTTACCTCTCCTCATCTGGTGAACTGAGTGATGTTGTTTCTTTCTTGGTGCCTGGAGGCTACATGGAATGGGATGGGGGACAATGGGCTGTGATGAACCCTGACAAGATCAAGTAGCTTTGAGTACATGGAGCTTCAAGATCCAGATCTTTGACATCTGTAGTTCTGGACAGGGTTGCACTACCCTGTTCAGATCCAGTTTGCAACTTAGGAGGTCTCCTGGACTCACAAAACCTGCTAGAAGATTGAGTGGCAGTCATGACTAGGAAAGCTTTGCACAACTTTGGTTAACAAATCAGCTGCAGCCCTTCCTGGATCAGGACTCCCTGCGCTTTGTCACTCAAGCTCTCGCCATCTCGTTTGGATCATTGCAATGCACTTTACATGGAGCTACGCTGGAAATGCATTTGAAAGCTTCAACTGGTACAAAATGAGCAGCACAAGTCTTTGGTACTAGTAGAATGACCAATGTTACACTACTGCTTCAGAAGTTGCACTGGCTGCTGGTTTGCTTAAGGGTGCCGTTCAAGGTGCTTGTTATGACCTTTAAAGCCCTTCATGGCATAGATCCAGATTACTTGATGAACTGTCTCAAACTGTTAAAACAGGCCCACCCTATTTGTGCCAGCAGAGGTCTGATGATGATGATCCTGCCAGTCAAGGAACTCTGACTGACAGAATCCAGAAGAATTTTGTGCAATAGCGCTGGCCTCGTGGAACATCCTGCCCTCTGAGGTTTGCCTCCACCCTCTTATCCTTTTGCAAGGGCCTGAAAACCTGGCTCTGCCAATTGGCCTGAGGACCCAGTAGGGGAGTACATCCCTGGCAGTGCCTGTTCTACTAATTAGCTGACCTCTTTCTGCTCCAACTACGCCCATCTTCCTTAATTTCATATTATTATATTTCCTTTGTTTATTTTTATTGTTTTATTTCTTTGCTATTGTTATCTTTACATTTTATTGTTATAAACTGCCCAGAGTAGTCCCATGGTAAGATGGGCAGCAAACAAATTTAACAAATAAATATTTAGAGGGTTCCAAATTGTTGAAGTAATAAAGCTTTAGTGGTCTTTGACCATTAACGGTACTCCATAGACAAGAGGAGCTGGATCTGTTTTGAATAGGCATATCCTCCTGGTCATCAGTTCTGCAAACACTAATATGGTCACATGACCCAAGAGGACAATATGTTATTTGTAATATTTCCAGTGGGGAAAAAGTTGGGCCAGTTCTCTTTCTCTGTTTGTAGGATGGCATCTGAACAGGACTGAGTCCTTGATTCCTTGAGGTGGCAGCTATGTTGTTTTCAAAGATTTAACAAACAGTTCTGCTCTTTACAATTTCACAGCATCTGTGAGATCATTTCCATTCATTAATGTTGCTCATAACAAAGGGTTTAAACCATTGTTGGATAATTTTTTACTACTATAGCATATTTCCCCCATTCATCTCCCAGTCTCCAAGTTCTGCAGGGAAAGGGGTTTCCACCTAAAAATATATAGAATTTCACTAGAAAACATTTTAGACCAAATCTTGATGCAATGGTTGATGACATTTTTTAAAAGAAGAAAAAAAAACACGTGCAATCAAAGACCACAATTTTATTGCTGAATTTTGTAATACAAGAGGCTCTGTACTCTGCAAAAGTGAACTGATTTCAGACATATAGGATAGTGTATTCAAATGCCCTTGAGCAATAAACTTTAATACTGTAGAATAGAATATAGATAAGATGTTGCCTGTAAAAAAAAAAAAAACAGAATGAAAACCTTGAGTTTCTTGAAAGTATTGTGCAAATGGACATGAAACTGAACAACAACTGTCTTGCCTCCCTCCATCCAGAGGCCTGAAATCTCAGGTGAAACAGCCCCTCCACCAAACCCAACTATACACTTTGGATAAAATAGAAAGATGAAAAATACCCTTGCCCAAATCTATTGTTAGATATCAGAGACAATATTTGCATGAAAAGTAGAATTTCTCCCCTTGTCCTTCCTTTTCTCCTTCCCCTTTAGCATTGCCGGGCTGTGCCCTCAGGCCCCTGGACATGGATCAGCAATGGGGAAAGCACGTGTCTTTAGAAGAGCATTTGACGGCCGTGACTGGGAGGATTTTTCATCAGGTTTGCCTGATTCGCCAGTTGCGTCCCTTTCTGGATCGGGACTCCTTACGCATGGTCACTCATGCCCTCGTCACTTCCCGCCTGGACTACTGCAATGTTCTCTACATGGGGCTCCCCTTGAGGAGCACCCAGAGGCTCCAACTGGCACAGAGTGCGGCCGCGCGGGTGGTTATGGGAGCGACATGGCGTTCCCATGTAACACCTCTCCTGCGCGAGCTGCACTGGCTCCCAGTGGTCTTCCGTGTGTGCTTCAAGGTCTTGGTTACCACCTTTAGAGCGCTCCATGGCTTAGGACCTGGTTATCTACGGGACAGCCTGCTGCCACCAGTAGCCTCCCACCAGCCGGTACGCTCTCATAGAGAGGGGCTCCTCTGGGTGCCGTCGGCCAAACAATGTCAACTGGTGGCCCCCAGGGGGAAAGCCTTCTCTGTGGGGGCACCTACTATCTGGAATGAGCTCCCCCCAGAGATACGGAGGATCCTGGATCTATGCACCTTCCGCTGTGCTCTCAAGACCTTTTTATTCCATCAGGCTGGCCTGGCCTAATTTTTCCCTTTTTCCCTTTTTCAAACGCAAATTTTAATTCGTTTTTAATTTATTGGGGTGTTTTCAATCTGTCTTCGGCCAAATTGCTTAATTTGGTTTTATTCTGTTTTTAAATTTTGTATTTATGTGTTTTTATCTTGTGACTGTTCACCGCCCTGAGTCCTTCGGGAGTAGGGCGGAACTGGGCGGAACCAGGAGGAACCCACCACTGGTTGGGCCTACCTGAAAAGGATTTGTGGTCATAGCACCATATGAATGCCCTTCTTCTAGAACAGGGGCGTCAAACTCACAGCCTGAGGGCCGGATGCATCACATGCTGGCCATGCCCAACCCCAGTTTAGCGAAGGGGGAAAAAGTTGTAATACGTCATGTGACAACAACGTGTCATCGCAAGTTTGACACCCCTGGCCTAGAGCAAGGTTTTCCTTTCAGGTTTTTAAGACAGAGTTGAGACACTTCTCTTTAATCTTTAGCATTTAGTAACTACAACTTTATAGTTTTAATATTCCCTTTGCAGGGGTGAAATCTACTTACCTTCCCTATCAGTTCGAAAGTGTGCACTCTGCACGTGTGCATGCATCACGTGCACTTTTGGACCCTCTGCGCATGCACAAAGCCTTCTGCGTATGCGCAGAGGGTCAAAAATAGGTAGCGATGTCTGGGCGTGTGGGTAGAGCTTCGTTCTGCCACCACTACCAGTTCACCGAATCATGCACCGCAGCTGCTACCGGTTCTCCTGAACCGGTGCAAACTGGTAGCATTTCACCCCTGCCCCTTTGTGTTTTTACAGGTTGTTAGTCTTTCCAGGCAATATTGTTCCTACTTGTGTTCTGGCAATGTTTGCCCAAAGGTGGCCTACAAAGGTGGCATACAATGTTTGCCCAAAGGTGGCATACCATACGTTGGAAGGATGCATTCCTTGGTCACCCTCTTGGGGAGGAAACAGGCCCCAAATGTATCTTCTGGGAAGTCAGTGAGGAGCATATTTGTTTTCTTCCCCCCAGGTGTTAAGTGTTGAGAGCAGACTAAGTTTGCCTTGTTGAGCCTTGTAACCCGCCCTGACTTCAACTTGTAAACGTCTGTGTCAGCAGAAG